AGAGAGCCAGTTCACTGTCCCTCAGACCGTTGGAGGGCCAGACTATAGTTAAAAAAAAACTATGAACAAATTCCTATGCACATTGCACATATCTTATTTTGAAGTAAAAAAACAAAATGGGAACAAATACAATATTTGTATTTGCATGTGGCCTGCGGGCCGTAGTTTGAGGACCCCTGGATTAGATGTTAAGTTAGGTTCATCCACACATTTGTCATCTTATTCGTTCATTATTCCTTCATGCAGTGCAAATCTTCAATTTGGGATACAAACTTGTGCTTGAAGAGCATCAGAATTTCCATTAGTGAGGATTTGTTAGTAAATTCAGTATTTGTGGGTTTTTTTTTTATGACTTAAATATCATCTTTTTTTTTATGCCTGTTTATTGAAAGATTTCTTTATTTGGTATGTGGTTATTTTCTCTCAGTACACTGTCTTCTGGCTTCCATTGTTAAAACACCAGCCTTTACCCTAATTTGTATTCTTTTGTAGATAGTCTGAATTTTTTCTCTGACTCCTTTCAATATCTTTTTCTTTGGGTGGTGTTGTTTTTACAAGCATGTATTTAGGAGTGGATTATTATTTTTTTAAATCCAGCTTGGGATTTATTGGACTTCCTCTATAAGTTTTTTTTATCAGTTCTAAACCATTATGTTTTTTTATCAAACTCTTTCCTGCAGTTTCTTTGTCATCTTCTGAAATTCCTGTTAGATATACTAGCACTCTTGTCTTCCATGTGTCTTAATTGCTTTTCTTTCACATTTTGTTACTTCTTTGGGCTTCCTTGTGAAAACTTTTAAAATTTCTCTGTTTCAGGATACATTACTCTCTCCAGTTATATTTCATTTATCAAATATACTTTCAGTTTCAATAATTATGTTTTTATTGCTAGAATTTTTATTTGGCTCATTTTAAAATCTGCTTGATTATTAAAAAATATTTCCTTTCCCTAGCCGGTTTGGCTCAGTGGATAGAGCGTCGGCCTGCAGACTGAAGGGTCCCAGGTTTGATTCCAATCAAAGGCACTTGCCCAGGCTGTGGGCTCGATCCCCATTAGGGGGTGTGCAGGAGGCAGCCAATCAATGATTCTCTCTCATCATTGATGTTTCTCTCTCTCTCCCTCTCCCTTCCTTTCTGAAATCAATAAAAATATATTTTAAAAATTTTTTTCTTAATTTTTGAAAATATGTTGAGCCCTTCTTTATTTATTGAATCAGATTAAATTTATAATAAAATAATATAACAACTATTTTAAGTTTTATGGGTCTGGTTCTGCTGAGTTGGTCTTGTCTTTTGTTTTTTCACTAGTAAAGTGGTAATACTACTACTTTTTTTTTATTGATTTTAGAGGAGAGGAAAGGGAGAGACAGAGAGAGAGAGAGAGATAAAAACATCAATGATGAGAGAGAATCATTGATTGGCTGCCTCCTCTATGCCCCCCACTGGGAATCAAGCCCAAAACCTGGGCATGTACCCTGACCCAGAATCAAACTGTGATCTTCTGCTTCATAGGTCGACACTCAACCACTGACCTACACCGGCCAGACAATACTACTAATACCAATTAAATCATGTGATTTGTTTATGAGTTGAGATGATGAATATATTGAATAATATGTGGCACATATAAATGCTCAATAACATTTAACAACTTATAATAATTAAAAATAATGAAATATATATAGCTATAATTATGTTGAGATATATCAAAGATAACTTGTAAATAAAGAAATATACCATAGGTGAATAGAAACAATGTTAATAATGTGTGGTCATATTCATATGTTTATACCTTTTCAATAAAAATTCCAACCAAACTTGGTTTTAAATTTTTGCAAAATTGTAAAGTTAATGTGAAAGGGCAAATAGGTGAGGAAAATTTGTATGTTTTGTTTTTGTTTATCTGTTTCTAACCTTTCTGTTAAAATGATTTTGTCCTAGGGCTACTTGGGTACTAAAAGCAAAATACGATTTTCTGAAGCTTGTTTGTTTCCTTTCTCTAAATCCACTTAACAGGGATCCTAAAAGAATGCCCTCTTGGTAAAGGAAAGAAAGGGCATGGTTAAAGAACTTATTCTCATTAAGGTGATTTCACAACTCCAAAGATCTGTCTTTTGCTTATATAGATATCAGACTGCAAGAGTACTTTTAACTTTAAAGTGGAAATGGTCCAAACTTCTCACTTGGAGGATGTTTATCCTTTCATTTGGGTGTGGTCTGAGTTCTAGCACGGATGAGTTCTTCTGGGCTTTTAGTAGACTTAACATTTCTACCTAATGAATGTCTTTTTTCATGTTAGGCAGCGAACTTATATTGATGTGGCTATTTATTGAGCATTTACTAGGTATTACTGATTTAGGTGTTGGGGGGAAAAAAGCAGTGAACCCAGCAGACCAAGCCTCTGCTTACTTCAGTAATAATTATAGGTAATAACATTGTATTAAATGAACATTTTTAGTTTTCAGATGTTTTTGAGTCATTTAATCCTCTCAAAAAGCTATGTGATAAGTAGGATTAATATCCCTACTTCATATATGAGTAGTTTATATTCTTGCTGAAGATTGAAGGAAGGATTTAGAAAGGATCCTAGGATCACACCACTTATAGAAGGTGACCCTAAAGCTCAACCCCGGACAGAAAGTAATACAGATAGCTTTCTGCTTTGTAATTGCACACCAGCAGTCCATATTGTTGTGGTTTTGCCAGTGTGTCTTGACTATGAAACATAAAGTTTGTTGTCGGGTAGGGATGGGGTATGGTACTATTACTAAGTTAATTCTTTAATGCAGTTCTCCCATGCTCTATCCCCACCAGACATTAACATAAACCATATATCTATAACATATAAAAGTGTTTCCCAGTGCCACAAAAGATCATTGTGATAGAAGTTTATGGGGTATCTTTTTTACTTTTATTTTTATTATTTTTTAGTTCTAATTTTTTAAATGTATTTTTATTGATTTCAGAGAGGAAGGGAGAGGGAGGGAGAGAGAAACATCAGTGTTGAAAGAGAATCTTTGATTGACTGCCTCTTGCACTTCCCCCTGTGGGGATCGAGCCTGGAACCCAGGCATGTGCCCTGACCAGGAATCTAACCGTGACCTCCTGGTTTATAGGTCAACAACTCAATCACTGAGCCACGGTGTTTGGGCTATGGGGATCTTTATATGTTTTGTTTCTCTTATTATTTTGTTTTATTTATAAGAATTAAAATATTAAATGATTTAACTAATGATGATTTATGTTTGTTTATTAATAAAAATAAATCTAATAGAATTTGTTAGAGCTCTAGTAGATTACATGATTTCCCTATAGAATCAGCACAACATTACTCAGTAGCATGTGTTATCTCTAGTGATTAATTATTGGTGGGGGTGACATGCAGCAGATGCCTGACTCTTCCTTTCTGGATCTCTTAGCAACAACTAGAAGAAGAAGCAGCTAAACCTCCTGAGCCTGAGAAGCCTGTGTCCCCTCCTCCTGTGGAACAGAAACACCGCAGTATTGTTCAAATTATTTATGATGAGAATCGGGTAAGCTCATGCCATTTTTAGTGGCACAAACCTTTGAAACCATTTGTGCCTTTTCTTAGTTATCAGTGAGTTCTGTAGTGATGTTAATGTATTAAAACCTGGTTTCTGTTTTAATTTTTAATGTTCTTAAACTTTGATTGACTGAAGTTTGGTGCTTTTACCTTATGAAGAAAAGTTGAGAGCTGTATCTTAAATTATTTAATATTTTATTTACATGTTATATAAATATTATTTAATGAGGGTATAGTTTTATTAGCTGAGTCTCTCTCCTATTATATAAATACTGGCAAACAAGTTTTGTTTTGTACCAAATAATACAAAAACAGTCATTCTATAGTTTTTCACTTTATAAGGGACATTTAATGCCAGATTCTGATACCATTCCAGTAGAGATAGGTTATTGGATATGGAAATTACTTACATTATCACCTTCACAATTAATAGCTGGCCTATGGCTTGAATCTTAGTTATAAAGTGTGAGGTCATTGCCTGTAGGTAGACTTTGCTTTTTTTATGTTTATTAAAATAATTTTTATACTAATAAAAAGATATGAATTTAGGAAAACCAGGCCTCAATTCTGTGAATTATTTTGTGTTGTCACAGTTAGTTTTTGGCCAGAATCCAGCCCAGGAATGAGCAGTTAAAAGGAAACTGATTTCGCCGAAACCGATTTGGCTCAGTGGATAGAGCGTCAGCCTGCGGACTGAAAGGTCCCAGGTTTGATTCTGGTCAAGGGCATGTACCTGGGTTGCGGGCACATCCCCAGTAGGAGATGTGCAGGAGGCAGCTGATTGATGTTTCTCTCTCATCCATGTTTCTGACTCTCTATCTCTCTCCCTTACTCTCTATAAAAAATGAATAAAATATATTTTTTTAAAAAAAGGAAACTGATTTCATCTTAGTATCAACAAAACTTTCCAACAGCGCTGTTTGACAGTGGGCTTCCAGAAATCCTCAGTCCAGAAATGAATAACATGTGACAGTGGGCTTCCAGAGTCCTCAGTTCAAAAATGAATAATATACTTTAAGTACTGCGGGAGAGAATAGGCTTGTTAGCTAATGTTGGTCATAAGGTAGAAGTTGGGATTGTTGTTTTAATTTGCTTCTTTATAGTGAGTAGAGCAGTACATCTTATAGGCAGCCAGTAACTTTATAATAGTCCAGATCTTAAAGGAAATTGGCCTTAAGAAAAGCAGCTGTGAATTAGTCATTAAGTAAAAATTTGTAGGAATGATCTTGGATTCATATGTACTAGTATGTGTCTATATGGATAACTGAAGTCGGCAGATATGTAATACTTAAAGTAATTGGAAGTGTCACGGAAGGTAATATGGACAATTAATATTATTTTCTTGGCTGAGTTCAAAATTAGTCCATTTTATTGAATGGACAGAACTACGTACGTGAGGATTTATCAAGTGAGGGGCAGTGGGACTGCCTTGTGGCATGCCTAGAGGGACAGTGCTCGGTGATCATGCAGGGATGTGGCCCTGGTTTTCTCGTACTTCATTATTTAAGAGAAGCCATGAACATGGAAATTTATGTGAAATTTCCTGCTTTAAAAAAAACCCAACTCTGTAGAACAATAAAAGTACCTTTGTGGGCTAATGGGCTTCATGGCCACTTTATGATGTCAGGGATAAAGTAAAGAGGGGTTAGAGCTGATAGCAATGGGAAAGAATCTTTTAAAATAAAATGTTGAATTATTTCTCAGTATGAATTAATTGTCAAATAAATGGAATTCAATATTTATTAATTGATTGAATTTCTTAATTACCTTTGTCTCACAAACCTAATAAACAGTTCCAACATTAGTGAATTCTGTGATTGCCTGACTAGGATGTGAGGACTGACAGATAATTTAATTTGTGCTTAACATTTGTATATGTTTTCATTAATTAGGATAATATATGTTTCTTGATGCCCATCAACAAAACTGAAAGCTTGCAGACCTCTCTTTCCATTTTAGAATTTGCGTATTTGTTGTATAGTCTGTAAAGTATTGAACAACCAAACTTGAAATCTGTGTTAGTATTAGAATTACAGTAAAGATTATTTTCAACCTACAGTACTGTAGGAATCACCTTTTTGATGTTATTTTTGTATACCCTGCTCCTAGTCATCTGCTGTGGTTGTACCTGTGCAGTCATAGAATTGTAGCAGAGGCTCCTGGAGGGGAAGTGATGAGAGCACAGCTGGGCATAGGCTCTCTCACATCACTTACCATGCTGCTTTGTGTAAGGTCTGCGCTGATTCTCGAGCTTTGTATAATGAATGACTTTATCTGTTTTGATTCTATAGGCAAGGAGAGAGTGTACATCCACCTCTTGTTCCTTGTTTGCAGCAGTCTACACTGGTTGGGAATTAAGCCAGATGTGGCTTCAGAGATAGGGGCTATTGTTTAAGCCATCTTTCTTTTGTTTAGAAAGTTAGTGGGAGGAGGAAAACTCCATAAAAATTACTGTTAATTTCAAAATTGACTTCCTGAGAGGAAAGTAGCCTTGCATCATATTTAAACCTCAGACTAAGATTTATTTAGTCTCTAACTAGACTCTTCTCCTGGACTATTTTTAATAGTTCAATTTGTCTTCCAAAAATATTTATAAATGTTCTAATTTCAGAATTATAATACATATAGAAGACCGGGGGAGGTATGGACTGTAGTTTTCAAAATCTTGTTTATATTTTGACTGAATGATGTGCAAGTTAATGTGACACTAGGAGAAAGAAAGGGATGAACAATAGAGAGTATGCTTAGTGTCAACTGCCTCTGTGCACCTTGGCCAATGTCCTAGGACAGGGGTGGGCAACCTTTTTGTGAGTCGTGCCAAAACCAGCAAAATCTGACTCAAAATTCTTCTGTGTGCCAAACCAAATTTTTTGAGAACATGTTACGCCTGCTTGATATCTCTTAAGGTGTATGTATGTGAAGAACATTGAAGAAATAATAAAATTCATTTGAGCGACAAAAACACAGTACATGATGATGAAAAGTACATTTATTTTTTAACTAGAAGCCTGGTGCACAAAAATTTGTGCACTTGGGGGGGGGGGGCTCAAACCAGAAATACTTGGGATTATCCTTGACTCCTCTCTTATTCTCACACTGCAAATCCCATCTATTAGCCAGCCCTATTATCTCCATCTACAAAATATATACAGGACTGCTACGGTCAATGTCTGAATGTTTGTGGTCTTTAAGATAACGTGTTATGTAAAATTATTTATCTAAGATGCACCTACACTGAATTTATCTGAAAAATAAAAAAGTTGATATTAAGAAAAAAATTGTAAATGGAAGATTATAAGAGAGGGTTTCGTGTGCCAGTAAAAGTTACTGGCATGCCATGTTTGGCACGCATGCCAGGGGTTGCCCACCCTTCTCGTAGGAATTACTTATTTTGTCTCTGCCACTGTAGATTTAGCTAATCAATGAAGAGCATCAGTCCTGCCTCTTAAAATTTAGTCTGATCAATTGTTCCTCTCTTTCTTTTTTGGCAGTAGTTTAATTTGAGCCCTTATCTCTCACATACCAGTAGATAGTGAGTTTCCTTCCTTTAGTCTGTTTTTCTTTTTAATCTGTCCTGCGTATTTGTCCCATGATGTGATCATCCAGATAAATCCTTTTGAGGATATCCAACTTTCTATTAGCCCAAACTTTGTATTAGTGCTTGCATGTGTATCTCTCTGGCCCTTGGCCTGATACTCCTTCCTCAGTGATATCCTGCCAGAATGTGCCCTTGAAATTACAGCGGGGCCTTGACTTACGAGTGTCCCAACTAACGAGTTTTTCGAGATACGAGCCGTCTCTCGGCCGATTTTTTGTTTTGAGTTGTGAGCTAAAATTTGGGTTACGAGCCAGCTTTAGATACCCCGCCACTAGTTGTCACAGTGAATGCCACATCAGCCCAGCATCACATGTCATTGTAATGGTGAAAATTGATTTGACATACGAGTAATTTGAGTTACGAGCTCCGTCACGGAACAAATTAAACTCCAAAGTCAAGGCCCCACTGTACTGTCTTTACCTCTGCCTTCAGGTGTTCCTGTGTCTTGTCTTTCTTCTGTCTCTTTCTATCCATTGCACTTATACTTTAAGAGTCAGCTGAAGTATCATTTTCTCTATGAAGCCTTTCAAGACCCCTTCTCTTCCTATTTCAGGAAGGGCAATTTTATTCATTGTTTTCTTAAGGTCTAGCTAGTGTCCAGATTATACCCAACATATGTTTGAAGAATTAATTACTTCTGCCTATAGACATATAATAAAAATTATAATATGGTAATGTGAGGGTTTTAAATTAAAGTTTTTCTGCCAAACTATTTGTAGATTAATCTGTTCTTAGCAATTAAGTCAACATGAAGTCAAATATTTAATAAAATTTTGCAAAACTTAAATCTTGGGATCAGCAACATCTTAAAAATCAGCCTTTATAATTATCCCTGAAAAGGTAAGTGCCTTTACATAATAGGATACTGGTAAATATTTGCCATAAGATGATTTTGCTCCCTTGTCTCTTAGTATTATTTGTGTACAATTCCACTTTGCCTGTTCTTGGTATCAACTCTAATATAGAGTGCCTTGAGAAAGCAAATTTAAAAACTAGTGACTATTGGGTGTAGAGAGAGTAATTTGCAGGTGCTAGGTATTTCAAAATTCACCATTTGTAATTATATTTGTATGTTATTTAACATATTCCAAAAGCTAGTAAATTTGAGTTTTGTTAAAATTACATTTTGACTTCTTTTTTAAAAAACTTTCTTTTATTAGGAAATGTATTTTGTTATTGCTTTCAGAGAGGAAGGGAGAAAGATGGAAACATCAATGCTAAGAAAAAATTATTGATTGGCTGCCTCCTGCACGCCCCCTACTGGGGATCGAGCCTGCAACCCAGGCATGTGCCCTGACCAGGAATCCAGCCATGACCTCCTGGTTCATAGGTTGGCACTCAACTACTGAGCCACGCTGGCTGGGCTACACTTTGGCTTCTTGACATTAATATTTACCAGAGACTATTTTTATTGTCATACCTTGGCAGAGGGGTGGAGGTTACTGGAATCTAAAGGGTAGAGGCCAGGGATGCCAAATTTCTACAACGCATAGGACAGCCCCCCAAATAAGAAAATATCTGTCCCAAAATGTTTATAGTACAAAGTTTAACAAATCCTGCCTTTAAAATCATCTATAGCTTGGCTGGCTTGGCTCAGTGGTTGAGCAGCGACCTATGAACCAGGAATTCTTGGTTCAATTCCTGGTCTGGGCACATGCCTGGGCTGCGGGCTCGATTCCCAGTGTGGGTTGTGCAGGAGGCAGCTGATCAATGATTCTCATCATTGATGATTCTATTTCTCATTCCCTCTCCCTTCTCTGAAATCAATAAAAAAATACTTTTGAAAATCTATAGAAATAGAATTTGCTATGCAAATTTAATGGGTATATTTATAGTTTAGTATTTGACATTTTTGATATGTTTATTTCTCATCTGAATTACCTTTTAAGTTTTTTGGAGTTTGGATAGTTCATTACACTATTTTGTCCTTCCTAAGCCAGTTAAACATTTTTTTTCACATAATATGTACTAAATAAATATTTGATTGATAAATGAGATGAAAAAGAGGAATATTTATTTTAAGGGAACATCTTTCTTTATACTTGGGAAATACTGATTGATGCCCATTTCTGTTTGTATGTCCCATTAGAAGAAGCCCTGGAGAGTTTTGTAGCCAGATGCAGTAAGGTGGGGTCTGCAGCAGGCCATGAGCCATTGTTACTAATGAGATTGCTGGGAGAGAGAGGAGATTTGAGAACCACTGAGACATTTGCTAGTTATATAATTCTAGTTTAAATATATTCAGTTTTGAATTTTGTTATATTTTGTTTTTTAAAGATGATTTCTGTTAGCATTTATTTTACTTTTGAAAATAACATAAAAATATATATTATTCACCTTTTATTTACTACTGAACACCTGAGTAATTCAGACAGTTGTTTCCTCTATTTTGGGGGTTATTGCTAAAGTTTTCTTGTAACTAGAAAGTAAGCTTATTATAAACTGTTCTTCAAAGAGATTAATTTGGCTTACCACAGCAAAGATTGACAACTTTATGGTGTTTTAATTATTTAATTTGCATTAAAGACATTTTCAGTTGAAGTATTTAGATGTTTGAAGGATTCATTTCTAATTGTGGATTCCTGTTCGCTCTCCCTAGAATGAATATATATTTGCTTTTAAGAATTTACCAATTCTTTAGGCAGTGCTTTCAATACAAATGTTAAGCTTTGACTGAATTTGGTAAGGAAATTATGACAATAGAAATAGTATTTTAGCCTATCATATAAGGAGAATGTTTAGAAATAAGGATAAGTTTAAGTATAGATTGGTCTTCAGATAAATATTATTTTATTGGTAATGATTTTGCACTTAGGTAATATACTTTTTAGTTATACAGTATAATAATGTCTTTGTAGAAAAAAGCAGAAGAAGCTCATAAAATATTTGAAGGTCTTGGCCCAAAAGTTGAACTGGTAAGTAAGAAATTTTTTTATTTCTAGTGCTCTTTTGTATTAGTTTTTCTTGGGATAAGATGGAATACAATCTACTTACTTTGAGGTGAGAGCAATATAGCTGGGCAGTAATTTGTGATCAGAATAATGGTGCATGACCAAAAGGTTGCAGGTTTGATTCCCAGTCAGGGCACCTGCATTAGGTTGTGGGTTCAATCCTAGTCGGGCACGTACAGGAGGCAACCAGTCGATGTCTCTTTCTCACATTGATGTCTCTCTCTGTTTCTCCCTTCTTCTCTCTCTAAAAATCAATTAAAAAAACATATCCTCGGGTAAGGATTAAAATAATAATAATGGTGCAGGAACTTGGTTACCTTTGAAAAGAAGCATTATCCTGGGCAGCCATTAAATCATCCACATAGAAGGAGAAAGAAGTAAGAACAGAAATAGAAAGCTCTTTGAATCATTCTGTTAGGATGATGATAGTGCTTAATTTTTCTTTGTCTTTAAAATTAAAAATCTCTGAATGAATGATTTTATTATGGAATACAATGGATTTATAAACTTTCTAGAAATGGCATTATTAAATATTCAGGGAACCTAATAGTCTGGAGGTTTTGGTAGGGCACATATTGTGTAGACCCATTAGTACTTTATTTAGCTTTACAGTAAAATATAATTTGTTTCCTTGTTCTTTATAGACATATGTACAATATTTTATGTATAAATATTTTATTCTATTTTATAGCCACTCTATAACCAGCCATCAGATACCAAGGTGTACCACGAGAACATCAAAACGTAAGTATTTATTGTCTCTAGAGTTCTTCAGTTAAAGACCATATATTCTATAAAGAGATTGTTTTTATGTTATCTTCTGACATATTATTGTAATATAGTGTTGGTATATTTTAGATTTGTGTAATTTGCTGTCATTTTACTATATGTTATCTTCCTCTGGCTTCTTGGGGGTTGGGGTAACAGCTTTGAGTTTCCGAGGCCAAAAATTGAAATAAATTATTGCATAAAACTAGCTGGTTTTATGATCTGCTAGTAAAAAAGGTGGATACTTAACATTGAAATGGCTTACCTTGAGGCTTGAATTTTTTGCCTCCTGTTTTGTCTTTTTTTCAGTGGAGTACCTGCAAGGCGCATGATGAAGTAAGATAATGAAGCTTTTTCATTTAAGACTAGTGATGACACCGTCCCCCACCAAGCCACATCTGCCATTGCAAAGTAGAAGTGCCACGGATCATTTTATCATTATTCAAAATCCTATTCTAGGGAAATCCCTTCCATGACTCTTGCTAATGACGGTATTTGTAGACCCTTCTGCCATTTAATGTCCTGGTGCCTTGGAAGCGCTCAGTGACCTCACCTGGGTGAGGAAAGCTCCAAAGTGTAGTTTGTTTAGCCTTGCTCATCCTAGATACCAGGCCTTTATGGATGCAGATTTTGGAATAAGAAAATAAGTAAAAAAGAAAACCTAATTTCTTGATCTGATTGAAGAAAAGAGGAGGCTAGATAGGTATCTTTTTAAAAAAAATTATCATACTTTAAGAGAATTTAGGTAATTATTCTTGTTTGTAACAAAAATGTGATATTTCTACTTTATATGTTTTATTAAGTATAATGAGAAATTATAGTTTTTAGTACAGTTAATAATGAGCACATTGCTAAATATGTATATATACACATATATATTTTTTCTTTTTAAAATATTTCTTACTGAGAGTATGTGCAATAGTTGACTACTTTGCAGAACTGGTGGCAGATATAATTTGCATGGTATGCATGAAAAATATTGAAAGTGAATAATTTTAACTTTTGTTAAGAAAGTGGTTCATAATAAAAGTCTTATACTTAGAATTTTTCTGTGAGATGCTACTGTGGTCTTGACAACCCTTAGGTTAGGCAGAATTCATATAAAATATGCCTTGTTTTGGAGTTGTTTAGCTATTTTAACATTTTTAAAAAGAATTTTGAATAAAATATAGTTGGCTACTTTTAATGATTTTTCCCCCCCAACAAAGCTTCAGTTAATGTTTGTGTTCTGTCTTTTCCTCCCAATATTAGCTAGAGAGCATAAGTCTGTCTGACTTATTTCATGTTATCTACACTGTCCTGAGCTGGTTACTGACTAGCTGACTTCTTCATTTAAATTCTTAGGAGACATTTTAAATAATCCTTATTGAGTGTTATTTGCTATTGAGTAGCACATAATTACAATTAGAGCAAACTGAATAGATGGTGATGCTTCTACTGTACGTGTGAAATTCCTTGTGAAATATCATTTACTCAGCTGCATGCACCCATTGTGAATCATTGAGTAGCTATTTTTTCATCATTGCCATTTGCTTTGTATGAAATAGCAAATGTACATTTTAATAATTCTTTTAATCTCTTGGCTACTTTTCCATATAGCCAGCTCCTGATTGCCCATGCTTATTTGAGTGGAGCCAGTGTCACTGTTAGTCCTGAGTGGCAGATAATCCAAAAAATTACTTCTACTTGCCTTGGCCTTGTATTTATATTTGAATAATCAGCTTGAAATCCTTTCTGGAAGTAGGTGGGGTATAAATATTTATATTTGAACCTGCATGTCATTGTTTTTGAAGGTCACAATGCTTCAAATTTAAAAAGTGAAATTATGTTAAGGTATAAGAGAAGTTTTTCTGTCTTATCACATTGCCCTCCATTACTTCTTAGAGTGAATTGTGTCATTTCTGTGACTGAAGAAAATCTTCTGTTTAAAGCAGAAGTCACCTTTCTATGTTGGTATACATTCTCATAGCAGGGAGATCAGCACCAATCCTGGGGTAGGGAGGTAACTTAAAGGCTTTTCCTTCTCTTCAACCTCCCCTCCTCCAGAGAGTACAAAGATGTTTATATCGCCAGGGTTCTTAAGAACTGTGTAATTGTAAATTGAAAATAATATTTACCTTATAATTGGATATAATAATTGAAAATTAACTATTTATATAAAATTTTGTTGTAGAATGGGAGGAATTTTAGTCAGCTCTAATTATTGCAAAAGTCTTATTTTGCAGGGTTAAAAATTAAGATTAATTTTTATTACATCATATGTTCCTAAGTGATCTTTGCTTGTTTTTCAGTGTCTGTGAAAAATAAGTGAATACATTTTTAAATCGTGCATTTTCTTAATGTCATACAACCATATTTTTCTTTTCTAGAAACCAGGTGATGAGGAAAAAACTCATTTTATTTTTTAAAAGAAGAAATCATGCAAGAAAACAAAGGGTGAGGTCCTATCCTTGTTAACTGAAATTTGTACAGTTTTTCCATTCATGCCCATGTTGGCATTTGCTTTTCCATTATTAATGAGAATGGTTCTTGATTATATTTGAGAGAAGGTTGCTGATTTAGAAATTAAAAATAGATGTGACAACTATAAATTAATTTCTAACAACCTTTTGATATCATAATTCATGTTTAATGTCATTATTAAATTAATATCTTTGGTCATCTATGTATAAAATTTTTATCTAGCCAAATAAAGAAAATGGTGAGTAGTTAAAAAAATATGATAAACAGGATGATCTACATTTATTCTCTTAACCCTCAAACAAATGTGGGTAAGTTACAGTCATGCTAATTACATATTACTGTTCTCTCATTAGGAGCTGGGTCAGCTAAAGGTTAGCTTTTTCAAATTTTAGAGAGTTAGTTTTTCATATTTATTATATGACTTGCATTCCAAAAATTTTGTAAGTATAGTCTTCATGGAAATTAAATTACAGAAAATATGCCAGTATTCTTATTTTCATAACATGTCTACTGATTTTTGATAAACTATTGATTTATTTAAATTCAGTTGTTTAGTAAGTAAGTGTTGTTCTTTAACTCACATTGGAAGTGAATGTTGTACCTTATATTTAATGACCTGACAGTTAATGATTGCAACACTCTAGAGCAGGGGTCCTCAAACTTTTTAAACAAGGGGCCAGTTCACTGTCCCTCAGACCGTTGGAGGGCCAGACTATAGTTTAAAAAAAAACAACTATGAACAAATTCCTATGTACACTGCACATATCTTATTTTGAAGTAAAAAAACAAAACGGGAACAAATACAATATTTGTATTTGCATATGGCTCGCGGGCCGTAGTTTGAGGACCCCTGCTCTAGAGTCAGCAGCTTTTGTTTGGAGTGTGACTTCTTACGTTCTAATTGCCAACTGCACCCTTCTGTCTTGAATTTTATGTGTGTGTGTGCCAAGAACATAGAAATATATATATATGTGCCTGAGTGACCATTACTAACAAACGGTTGCTATGACGCGCACTGACCATCAGGGGGCAGACGCTCAATGCAGGAGCGCCCCCTGATGGTCAGTGCGCTCCCACAGCCGGCCAGCTTCACACGGTCCCTCTCCCCTGGCTGGCTGCCCTGATCGGCCGATCGCTGGCCAGGCTGAGGGGCCCTACCTTTGCATGAATTTGTGCACCAGGCCTCTAGTATTAAAGAAGAAATTAGCTAAAGTATTTTTTTCTGTTCAGTAATTTTGTTGTAATTATGGTAATTTCTAAATTTGCTATCTGCAAACACAGAAGCTCAGTTTTTCTTTTTATACTTCAATAGAGTAGTTATAAAGTGTCTGTGTTCACTGATTTGTTTAATGTTCATTGGCTGCTTACTGTGTTCCACATATCATTCTACAGTGGTGAGCAAGACAGCCAAATGGTTTTAGCCAAGGTGTAACTGAGGATAGATAAGTCAGCAGGCAATTGCAGTACTGTGATCATATACAGATGACTGTGAGCATGTAAGAGGGATAGTTAGTGCAGAGATGAATCATGAAGACGGAAATTTCACAGGAAAACTTGTATGCTAATAACGAATAAACAGAGGGAGCAGCTTAAATGAAGATTTGGGAGGTAGAGTGGATTGTGTGATGAAGATCGGGGAGGTAGAGTGGAGTGTCCCAGTTTTAGAGATGGCTGGGGCTTAGACAGAGCTGGGAGTGTGGTGAGAAATGAGGCTGGTGGGGAAAGCCAGGGCCAAGTCCTATACAGCCCTGGAGGTCACCTAGGAGACTTTGGATTAGATCTTGGGAGTATCTTTTTAGTGTTTGAACTGAGGGAGTGAAATGTTTAGGTTTGGATTTTAAGAATTTGCATCTGGCTACACTATTAAAAATGTGCCAGGTGGGTACCTGAAATACCAGAGGGAGGGACCACTTTGTAAAGTATATGATTGTCTAACCACTATGCTGTACACCTGAAACTAATAACGAAATAATAGTGGATATAAATTGTAATAAAATGACAAATTTTATTGTAAAAAAGAGTACATGGGAGACATTAGGAGGCTCTTTAATCTAGATGAGGATTGATGTTAGCCTGTACTGAGGAGGTGGCGATACAGATGGAGTAAAACAGATATATAGGAGTGGAAAAGAATGATTAGGAAGATGTTGGGGTGGGATATGGAGTATGAGGAAGATAATTTTATCTTCTCTGATGCCACTTTTTGAGATGACTAGTGTTAACAGTTTTTCATGAGTCCCCCGACACTTTTTTTAATTTGTGTGCCGTCAGACACATACATAGTTCTGTGCAGGAGGGTTCTTCTTTCTGTGTTTTTGATATTTATAAAAGAAGATCATACATTACTCATTTTTATAAAAGTATTCTTGATTTCATGTCATTTGCTGAGTTTTCTTTTTGTAATCATAAATTACAACCAATTTCTGTCTTTTCCAGACTGTCAAAAATGTTTATGACGTAGCATAATTTATAGTAACAAAAATATGCGAGTAACCTAGATCACCAACAATAGAGGAATGATTAAAGTGTGTTTTCTCTGACACATTGGAAGGCTAACAACAAAATGTTAATATGGTTGCCTTTGGGTGACTGGGATTACGAACTATTTATATGTTTTTGTTTTTAATTTTACATTATTTTTTACATGAAGACATATTGTTATCAGGAAAAAAAACAATCAAAGTAGCTGGTCAGTTAGTAGTAGTAGCTCATCAGTTCATTGATCAATTTATATAGTCTTCCTGTTAACTAAACAAAATCTGACCAAAATATGCTCTATACGTCAGATTTTTCATAGGCAATGGAGCTCCCTTTCTCTCTCCTCTTTCCGATTGAGAACAGCTTCTCATTCACAATTGAGTTATAGGCCAAATGTACTTCTGACTTTATCTTAAGAACTGACATGTACTTTAATGTATTAGGTTTGTCAGAATCACAGAATTTTGTTTAATTTTTAATTTGCTACGGGTATTTAATAGGAACAAAAAATCTGCCAACGTTACGATCAACTCATGGAAGCATGGGAGAAAAAAGTGGACAGAATAGAAAATAATCCTCGGAGGAAAGCTAAAGAAAGCAAAACAAGGGAGTACTATGAAAAGCAGTTTCCAGAAATTCGGAAACAAAGAGAACAGCAAGAAAGATTTCAACGGTAAGCAGTTTGGTGTTTAATGGCTGTGCTATATTCTTGGAATCACACTTTTGATCTTTCACAATACTTATTGTTACTTGATAATCATTAAGAAAGGTTATAAAAAACTTTTGTTTGTAATATGTCTTGGTGAATTTAATATTAATTTTTTATATTCATGATGTTGAATCTAAATTTAAGTTAATTTTTTAAAGAAATACGTTTTTATTGATTTCAGAGAGAAGAAAGGAGAGGGAGAGAAGGATAGAAACATCAATGATAAGAGAAAATCATTGATTGGCTGCCTCCTACTGCTCCCCACTGGGGATTGAGCCCAAAACCCGGCATGTACTCTGCCTGGGAATCCAACCGTGACCTCCTGGTCGACGCTTAGCCATTGAGCCACACTGGCTGGGCTTAAGTGAATATTTTTAAATTAATTATTCAATCCTTGAAAATATCCATTTCTTTGGAAATGATAGTTAATAAGAATAGACCTGAGTATCTCGTTGTTCTTCAGTATTTTTCTTCCCTCTTTTAAAAAATCTTTGATGTATTTTTCTAAGCCTGCCATTCTAGTTTCTGGAAGGCATGCAAAAAACTGGTATTTGAAATGGAAATGTCACCAGTAACTGGTTTTCCATAAATAAATAGTTCTGTCATTTGAACTTGGACATGCAATCTTTAAACCTTAATCTCGGCATTTAAATTATTACTAATTTTATAGATGACTCAAGCAAATTAATTTAGGTTTCTTCTCTGACTTCTAGTTGATTAAAAAAGTCTTATTCAGAAAAGTAATCTATACAAAAGTAATATAATTTACATGTCTTCCCTATAAAAGGCCTTTAAATATATATATATAATTTCTCTCTCATACTTAGAGTTGGGCAGAGGGGAGCTGGTCTTTCAGCCACTATTGCTAGAAGTGAACATGAGATTTCTGAGATTATTGATGGGCTCTCTGAGCAGGAGGTAAGAAAATAAATTGATCTAATTTAAGTTAATTCATTATTCAGGAATTTAGCCTCATACTCCAGGAACTAAGGGTTTATTTATACGTAAGTGAGGGAATAGTCCAAAGACTGTGGTCAATCATTGGAAGTTTTAAAGAAGGCAGTCACATGATCATATTGGTGTTTTACAAATATGGCTTTGGCCGCATGGAGGTGGGGAAAGAGAGGAGGAGACTTTTATAAAAGTAAGGACCTGAGTCAGAATAACAGTGTTAGATAATAGGAGGGAACTGAAAGGAGAGATTATAGAAGGTAGAATGGACAGGACAAGATTGTTAGATTAAGTGTGGGGGTGAGAAAGAAGAGAAATAGAAAGTGACTCCCTGGTTTTTAGGTTAGAGGACTGAGCGTGTTGTGCCATTTCATAAAACAGCAAAAGAGCATGTATTTTGCAGATGTTTGTATATTCATTTGTTGTGGTTTCCAAAGAGTGCTCTCTAGCCTGAAAGAGACATAGGAAGTGACATTATTAAGTCATTGCTAAACAAGAATGAATTTCAGTCAAGAACACTGAGTCTTTGAAGCTATGTTCAAACTATGTCTTAAGGTTGTTTCAAAGACATCTACCTATTGAGTTTTGCTAGTTTTGATTTTATAACATGGCTTTTTAAAACCTCCTCTCTACATTCTCGTGGCCTTGATTATTTGAATGTGGTAGCCTCTTAAGTAATCAAAGATAATTATTATGTTGCTGTATATTTCAAGATTTGTGGCCATAATTCCTACAATAACTGAACCTATGTTAAATTTCTTAGCTTGCTTTTTGACTGAAACCATATAAGCATTTATAACTAGTATCAGTTGAGGTGATTTCAAACTAATGTCTGCTGCAAACAGTACTTTGGTGTTCAAACTGATTGCGAGTACCTCATAAAATTATAGACTTTCTAAGGACTTGTAAGGTAATATCTACTTCTCTGAGGAAAATTATTAGGAGAAGACCTAGCCTTGTTACTGAGATTAATACTTATAACTTTGCTAAAAGTTTCTTCATGGAAGTTTGTGCTTATAAACTTAAATTAAACCTTGGGAAAAGAAATTATATAGACATAAAAAGTTTCAGTTAAATTGCTAAGAATAATAGTCTTAAAATTTTAATGGAAAGATTATGTAAGATTAGCAAGAAGCATTTAATTCCTAAATGAATTTAGTTACTTTAAACTCAGTGATCCTAAGATTTGGTGCCTGTTTGTTTAATTTTCTGTTTATTGTTCTCTAAAATGATGTCAAGATTTGTTGTCTAAAATGGTGTTAAGACTTTAAAAAATGAGACTAAATAGAATTAATGGGGCTCATAAAGTCACTATTATATCAATGACCTTGACATAACTTTGTATTTTCTATATTTAAAATTTTATCTGAAATGTCAGCTTTTAAGTAAAGAACTCTTTTCAAATTGTGGCTTATAAAAATAATATGTATACTCTGACTCTTTAATTCACTGAGTGGATATTTATTAGATATATAAATAATGACTACATGTTAGATGTTATGGAATGCCACTACTATTGGAATGGAAGATTCAACATAGCTAAGATGGCCATATTACTTAAAGCAATATAAAGATTTAATACAGAGAAAACCAAGATGGCGGCATAGGTAAACACCGGAAATTGCTGCCTCACACAACCACTTCAAAAAAACAACTAAAAGACAAAGCGGGCATCATCCAGAACCACAGGAAGGCTGGCCGAGTGGAAATTCTACAACTAGAAGGAAGGAGAAAAGCACACTGAGACTCAGAGGAGGTGCCATGTGGAAGTAAAGTGCAGAGGTACGGAGGCGCACGTGGAAAGGACTGGCAACTGAGGATGCGGTTGTCTTTTGCAATCAAGAGGGAGACTGAAGCTCCCGACTGCTCTGAATTCCACTTCTGGGAAGTCTCTGGGGACCCAGACTCATACGGGGAGAAACTGGACTGTCTGGCATCGAGCAGAACTTGAGTACGGCTTTCTCTCAGAGGCGCTTGCAGCGATTACTGTGGAACAGTAAGACCTGGGTCCTCTTAGGGCAGGGCTGAGGATCAGCCATAGCTGTTTGCTCCACCCTGTTGATTCCCTGAGACCCCGCCCCACCCAAGCTGTGTACAGAGGCTTTTGCATATGAATGCCCCGGCCCTCTGCAATCTGAAATTGCCTAACTAACTGTAGCTGGGTCAGAGAGACCCAGAACATCGAAAAA